ACTCTATAAAATATTTTTCAAAAAAACATTGTTATTAACAGCCTTTAGTAAGATGTTTTGCACTTATTTTTATTAGAGATATTGTCCTGATGACAAAGAGAAGGAAAAAAGTGACTCCAGTGATGATGATAATTATGAGCCATATATTCCCCTGAAAGAAAGAAAAAAGGAAAAGGTAAGACTTTTGGTGCTGGATTCTGTCATCCAGACGAAAACAAGCAACTCATTTAGTTTTAATTTCAATATAAGTTTTAGTAGAGGGATGCACAACCTGTGGGCCAAAACTTGTCCCCAAAGAAGAATGTGACATGATCCCTGAACAGTTTTGAATGACACTAATAAAAAAAAATGTGTGAAATCTTTAAAATATAGATAAAAAATATCAAGGTTTTGTTCTGAACACAAATGTAAAAGTGGCAGAACAACCATTTTATATTTAGACTATGCTCCATATTTTATTATCAATTTAATGAATCCAGCTGAATAAATCACCTATTTTTACCTAAGTATCGGGAATCTTAATTCATAAGGCTGTCCTTGGAGAGGTAACATCTGTAAAGAACCTACATTCAGGTGTTCTGTTAGCAGGGTTGTTTTTTGTTGTTGTTGTTTTTAAAATCAAAAACTGGTTTTTAATATGACTTGTTTTTGAGCGGCACAGAGTTTTTGCCATTGACTTTTCCTGACAAAAAAGTGTTAACTCAAATGCGCAATTCAGAATTGTCAATTTTTTTTTTTTGTATTTTTTTTTTTAAATTTTTCATTGTGCTCAGAATTTTCTGCAGACCTTACATCAACAGTTGACAGACTGCAGGTTTTGCATCCTTACATAGACTTATGAAACACTGGAGAGAATTATGTACAGTCATAGAAATTCATGTTATACTCCTTAAATTTGGTTGCCATTTTTTATTCTTAAATTATTGAAATAATTTAAACCATCAAATAATAATTGTTTGCAGCTTGTAAAGTTGGGTCGTTTAGGAACTATATTGCAAGAAAAAGAAAAGTTTAAAGTCAAATCAAGTAGTGAAGGCGATAGTGATGAATTGGATGACGATTTTGGAAGAAAGTATAATGTCAGTCTACTTGATCAGCATAATGAGCTAAAGAAGAAAGCAGAAGGTAAAGATGTTGTTTGCTTTGTAATTATTATCAGTACCATCTTTACATGTTGCAGTGCCAGGGGGGGGGGNGGGGGGGGGGGGGGGGGGGCTCGCGAATATTACTTTTTATAAATTCTATTTTAAAAAAATTAAGAATAAACAAAATTGCCTTATATATTTTTTTAAATAAATATGTTCTATTGTATGAAGTGTGCATTTTGTTTTTCTTTCTAAAAATAGTGATTGATTATCATGCAAATAACTATAATTTCAATTGTTTATCACCAGACAAACTTAAAAAGGCAACCCAAATCTAGTTTTTTGTGTTCCAATGAAGTTTTTATTTGCATTGAATTTTTTGGGTTTTGTGTAGTTAAAAGGTGTTTAAATTTGTTGAAATTATTGCACAGATTAAAAATACTTTATTCTATGTATGTGAAGTTTTTAGTTACATTTTAAAGACTATGACGTGCTATAAGGACTTAAAATATTTCTTTACCCTGCATACCATTAAGACAGCTTGGAGTATTAAGAATATGCATATCTTCCAACTCTACTGGATTTTCCAGTAGACTACTGGATTTTTTCTGTTTCTCCTAGTCTACTGGTTTAATTTAAATTCTCCTTGTTTTTGTACATATTAATTACCTAAAATTAAGTCTAATTTCTAAAAAAATCCATATTGAAATAGAATTTTTGTACACATTGTTTACTTGCTATAATATTTAAATAATGTATTACTAATACATAAGGAAGTGAACCTCATTTATACAAATTAGTTCAAAACTACTTTTGTTCTAAAATGTTCAGTTTATTATTATTCAGAACTTTCTTTTTTAAATTAATTAAAAATATATTTTTAATTATTTTTGATGAATTAAATGCCTATTAATATTCAAAATTATGAGTAAACATAATACATAACATTTCTAGTATGTTTAATGTCAATCATAACTGGGGAATATTGTAGTTTTTCTATATATATGACTAGAGAAAGCCCTAAAATTCCCTATGTGTAAAATATTTAGTAAATTATGCAATAATTATTATGAAATGTGTTATTTTATAAAATCTACTGGATTTTTTCCTATCCATGTTTGCAGCTATGAATATGAGTCTAATTATCTTATTTTGCAGCTCGTAAAGAGAGTGCTCTTGAGAAACAGCTGAAAGAGGAGGAAAAAATCTTAGAAAGTGTTGCCGAGAAAAGAGGTAAAATACAGCTCCTTTTTTATTATTTCAACTCTTTTTCTTAATTCTTTTCGCAGGCATGTCTTCGCACCTGAGGTGTGTTTATATTGAATTTTTATTATAAATATAATCTGCATATTTTTATTGAATTAAAATAGTGGAAAATTATTCTTGCAATTCTGTTAAAGAAAATAAAATGTTTGCAATTTCTTCTCAAACTTTTTTTATTATTTTTTATTTATTTGGAAGGATAAATTTGTAAGCATGTACTGTGAAATCTCCTCACGTTCTAGAGAATTTTTAAAATCCCTTGCAGTCTTCTATGAATAAACCATGGTACAGGGCTGTAAATAAAGTATCGGCAATGTACTTGGAAAACATTTTTAATGATTATAGTAGTAAAACTGTATCACTTTCCTTCAAAATAATCACCAGCAAAGTATTGTACCTTTTTGCCTGTTTTCTAGATGGTACAGGATTCTGTTGTCAAAAAGACAGCAACAGAAACAGGGCTAAATAAAAGAAATTAAAATCAAGACAATCTTCACTGTTCTTATTTATCCTTGCTAAAAATAAACAAAACAGTTTTATAAATAAATTAAACAAGTTTATTTCCTCAGTTAAAATGTGTTGTTGACGTATGCCTGTTAAGGCAGAAAGGTGCGATTGTTCTTGTTTTCCAGTAGTGCTACCTATGGCCAAGAATTCAACTTGTGCCACACCCAAACGTCACACCCTTTTACATACCTGCCATGTCTCCTGTTTTTTAACGAGGACTCCTGTATTTTGCAACTATTTCCTGTTTACCTGTATATTCTCAAATTTCTCCATATTTGTTGAAGAAATTTTTAAAAAAATTTGGTGATAAAATATCCACTGATGACAAAAATACTTTTATTCCTCAACAGATGGTGCTAATGCCCTTATTGCAGCATGTTGAGGTTAATAGTTTAAGGCTAGCTATGATGATTCAGGGGATAGTGTTCGTCTTCCAATCAGGTTAAGTGGGTTTAAATCAGAGTGGCTCTAGACGTATCTCGGGATAGTCCCCTTTGCTGCCAGGCTAACTGTGGCTGATTTTCGTGGTTTTCCTCTCCATATAACTCAAATGCGGGTAAGTTCCATCAGAAAGTCCTCCACAAGGGCAAATTTCTTCTGATACTTGATCCGGGAGTTCCCTTGTCTTCTGGATTGGGTTCGAAATTACAGGATTCTTAGTTGAACCTTAGTAGGAATTGGGAGGGCTGTTCACAACAACAGTTATGAAATAAAATAGTTTAAGTAATTATAAATAATGGTTCAAAAAATATTTATATACATATTTTTTTCTTCGCTAAATGTAAGTGCTTATTTTTTCCAATTTTTTATTTTGACTTACATTATTATGCCTGATGTATCAAAACTTTACTCGCAGCTTAAAAAATTTTAGTAAAATCTCAGTTATTTTATTTCTCCAATGTTGACAGGTATGCTTTTATAGGGTGAGCCCATTCATTCATCCACAGATCATAATTTTGACCTGAATCAGAGAACGATTAACCTCCAATTCAGTACCCCCAGAAGTATTGATTTGATTGACTGCTACTCGACAGATTTAACGTCATTTACTACTTGGGGAATCTTTGGCCAGCGGGGTTCGAACCCTTGAACTCTTGGACATGGGCCCAGCACCCTACCGATCAGGCTATCCCAGCCCAGTTAAAATGTGTTGTAGTTAAGTTCCCAGTTAAAATGTGTTATATGTTAAAAGTTTTATTTGAAACTGTATGTGATTAAACTCTCAGGTTAAAAATAAAATATTTTTTAAATAATTTTCCTGTTTCTTTGAATTGTGATTCTAATAATTTTTTATATTGTATCTTGTTATAACAGTAGTTTCAATTTTATTGAGAATTAGTGTCTCGAATTTTTGTGAGAATACATTAGTACCTACATTATTTTAACTTTCTAATAATACATGTTTTTTAAAACATTAACCTCTTAACGCACAGATCTTTTGAAGAAAAAAAAAGTGGCCAAAGACAAAATCCCTTTATTTAAATGTAAAAAGGCAAATTTTATGTTAAAAATTGTTTATTTTTATTTTCAATTCTCGATTATATTCGAGTATGAAAAATTATAGCTGCATAAAATACATTGCCGCTCGATTTATCTCGAGTGTGCACAGTTTGGCCTGTTATTAATCGCGCTCGAATTAACTCGAACGCACAAGTTAAGGGGTTAATTCAGAATTTTGAAATACAGAATATAGAAGTTATGGAAACATAACTATTTCAATTTATGTATTTTATTTTATTACGAACCTAATGTCTAGAGCTCATTTCTAAATAATCGAATGTAATTACTGAGTTGCCACTCCACAGGGAAAACCTGGAGAATACAGGGAATTTAAAATTCACCTAAAATAACAGGCAATTTTGATACATTCTTAACAAGCTGGGTAAATACATGGAATTTTGTTTCTTAATTTTGTCTTAAAAAAATGGTGGCCACTCTAAGTGTTATCTATGAGATATTTAAGGATGTTATTTTAAATTAACTAAACTATTTCATTTACTTATAGCATTATTTAAGTATGTTCAGCTGTACCTTTTTTCGTCTCTAAGTTTTCCAACAATTAAAACTAATATAATATATATGTATATATATATATATAGCTCACACAAGAGCATAGTGATTGTTGTTTCCTCTTTATATTGTGCGTAATATGTACAGGGATTATTTTTGGGAGGGTTTTGAGTGGCAACACTGAATTAATAAAATCAGATCAACTCTGAAGTTGCAATAAAGGAACATTCATTTTCAGCTTTTAGATTACATTAATTAACATTTATGATGCACCAAACTATTAAATTTTGTCTGGAGGGATTTTTCAATGATTGACTGACAACCATTGAAAGAATGCTAAGGAAAAACAAACAATAGTTCAAATAGTTAATCTTGTTATAACCTAATAATCCTATCTTTCTGATGTTTATCAAAAGGCTGTTACAAAATATATTGTAACAGAAAATATTTCATTCTAGATTTTGTTGAAATTAGTTTAATTTCCTTTTAGCATTGATGGGTGTGGCTGAACTTGCTAAAGGCATTCAATATGAAGATCCAATTAAAACTGGGTTCGTCTATTATTCACTATTATTGATTTTCTTTTAGTATTTTAATTGTTTTATGTTGCAGTTTTCTGCATGATTTGTTTTAGATTTGATTTACATAGGACTTAATTATTTTATTAAACAAATTGGTTTAAATCTAAGTATTGTTTTATATAGTGTTTAATAACTTGAATAATAATAATTTAGATTGCTTTTTTAACACACGTAATTATTTCTCATTTTTTATTGGTTAATGAATTCCTTTAAATTACTTTGTTATAAAATTTATAATTACAAGGAATATTGTATCTTTGTTTCTTTCCTCTTTTTTTTCTCTTTTTTTTAGTGAAAAATCCTTCTTATTTAAATTTTTAACTGTCTGAAGCAATTTGTTTCTGAAATTTTGATTTCTGAAACAAATTGTTTCCCCAAATAAATTTGTCTTTTTGTAACACTTGATTGAAAAGTTGCGATTGACTTTTTACACTATTACTGAATAATCTTTTTAGTGATGAACATTTAATGATTTTTTATTGTAAGCGAAGATTCAATAGGAATTTGTAAAACAAATTTGTTGATGTAGTTGCTATGGTAATTGATCGTAATGTTCAGATTTGAATCACAACAGAATTGGGAACTAAATCTGTGTTAATGCAATAAAACATTTTGAAATCTTTAAATTGAATACTTTGATGTAAATTTTATTTCAATAGGAATTTGTAAAACAAATTTGTTGATGTAGTTGCTATGGTAATTGATCGTAATGTTCAGATTTGAATCACAACAGAATTGGGAACTAAATCTGTGTTAATGCAATAAAACATTTTGAAATCTTTGAATTGAATACTTCGATGTAAATTCTTCATACTTTCAAAACTTTTCTTAAATTTTGATGTTATTTCTTAATAGTACTTTGAAGACTACTCTAATACTTTAACACTAAACATACCAGCACTTAATATATATCTATTTCTACCATACTCAGTCACATAACCTGACCTAATATTTCCTAATTGGATGTATGAAATATGGATGCTAGGAAGGAAATAAACTAAGAAAACTTTATTATAATTAAACAAAATTGTATATTGCCAAATTTTATGTATTACAAACACAAAGAATAAGAATTTTTAATTCATTGCTCTACGCATATTTTACAGATACAGGGTGTTTCCATTGTATATTTTCTGCAAACATATTTCTTCCAATTATTATTATTTCTATAATTCTTATAATTTTTCTTATAATTATGAGAATTATAATTTTTATAATTAATATTCTTTCTTCGAAGTACTTGTGCTGTCTCGATTGTTACGACATTTTTCTGTCAAAAAACTAACAGTTAGTTAAAAATGAAGTAAAGCTATCAAAATAAAATGTAAGCTACTTACCAAAACATTTATTCTTTGTCATTTTTTCTCGCACAAAAATACCAATCTATAATTTTAGGTACTTTCTTGAAATTTGAATTCACAGTTCTTCTGATTAAAATAACTACGCAACAGTCTTTGCAGAAATGTGCAACTAATCAAATACAATACGTTGAAAACGTATTGCATCGTAATTTCTGATCCGATAACGTTATAAAGTAATAAATTGTTCTCCCTGTCAAATGACCGGTTGTGGAAGAAATAGATATATGACAAGTATTATCCGAAACAAACAAAATACAAAATAAATAAATAAATAATAATAGAATATTAACTGTATATGATTGTTAGAAACAGTCAAATGTGCAAAAACGATAAGATACGAGCATTTTTTATGCAAAAGTTCTTAAACGGTCATTTGACCGTTTATGGTATGTTTCGTGTTAAGCAATTTGGTCTATTTATCAAGAAGAAAGAAAAAGTAATTTGGTGCAAATCAAGGAGGAGCCTCTTAATGGCATTATAGTTTTATCATAAGATTATAAAAATTACTTATGTATAAACTTATTGATGTTAGGTGGAGACCCCCACGCTACATATTAGCTTTGTCAGAAAAGAGGCACGAGCGAGTGCGTCGGAAGTATCGGATACTTGTCGAAGGGGATAACATTGTTCCACCAATCAAAACATTCAAAGTTAGTCATATTTTTTCTGAATTTGCTTTTTAATATTTTATTGTTAAATTTTGTTTTCAACTTTTTGATCTTAAATTTTAAAAAAAACTTAATTCTTTTGATTTAATTTTAAGACAGGTTTGAAATGTCTGTTTTATATTAATGCTGCAAAACTCAGCAAGAAAGAATGATTGAAATTTTTAATTATTTCCCTAAAGTAAATAAAGTACTTCGTAATGAATGAAAGTTATAAATTTAAAAATATTTTCTGAAATATTTTTGAGCAAACTTAAATGCATTTGCATGCACATAGAATTGTACTTATTAATTTTTTTCCAAGCTTTTTTTCTAACAACCTTGTTTTAATTCAAATTTTCAGTTAAGAAGCTTTAACTTAATTTATTCTTTTAATCTTAAATTATTAGTTTAACAAAACATAAAAAGAAAAGTATCCTTTGTGATAATGGGAAGTTGAAAACTTTTACATTCAAATTTTGCTGTCACAAATATTTTTAGAACTTGTTTTGAAACTGCAATAAGCAGGAGTGGTATTTCATCCTGAAAAGGATATTGGAACAATTTATAAAAAATGGAAGAAACTAAAACTGACCATACTATTTTCTTTAATTTTCTTGTTCACATTAAAAATATTTGATATTTAATTTCTGAATTTTTTTTTCCTTATTTATTTTTAGGAAATGAAGTTCCCTAAATGTATCCTCCATGGTTTAAAGAAAAAAGGAATTACTAAACCTACTCCTATACAGATGCAAGGATTACCAGCAGTGTAAGATCTTTAACAAGATTAGATATATGTGATTAAGTTAAAAAAATAATTCCAGATACTTGATACCCAGAAATAAAAGGAAAAAACTAAAATCATCATTACATTTTAGTTATCAGGATAACTGTATTTAAATTTTAAAACCTATTTGGAGCAAGGTATACAGGGCGTCCCAAAAGTACAAAACGAGTTAAATATCATGAAATATGCATGGGATAAAAAAATTGTCTTTATTCTACTTACTTTGTTTACACAACACCAAAAAAAAAAAAAAAAACTTTATNACACCAAAAAAAAAAAAAAGAAAACTTTATGAATTAAGGCCTTTTTATTACACTTATAAATAGACAAAAAAATATATGAAAAATATCTTTATTACCAAAAGGGCAACAAAGAAATTGTATCCTATAATGTGTTAAATATACTAGCCATAATAAAAATAAATTAAAATTAAGTAAATAAGTGCACATGAAATACAGTACATTATTGGCAAATCTGAAATTAAGCTCATGAAATATTTTTAAAAGATGTATCTAATGTTACCAACGTGCAATCTCACTATCTGCGGGGAGGCTGCAAGGTGTTGGTTGGATTTCTGATTTTCCAGAAAAAAAGCATCTTTATTCAACTTAAGGTCGTTACATATTTGTTTACCAGGGTGCGTATCGTTTTTGAGAAGTGCTTAAATATGCTTATTTTTTTTTTACCTTTGTTAACAGCCCTGAAAGGAGCTTTTTTTTTTTATTTGGGTTTTGTAAGAAGTGCTTAGTTTTCTATCTTTTAAAAAAGAGATTTTTTCTTTGCGGTGTCGATTGTTGTTCTAAATTACGAAAAATGCACAATTTTCTCTGCAATATTTATCAGAAACCAGTTATTTTATCATGATTATGTAAAGTTCATGAAAATGTTTTTCAAATTGTTTTTATGTTCATAAGTTAAGGACTTTGAATGATGGGAAAAATTATTATTGCACAGATCCTAATTATGATTTATTTTTTAGGAAAGTGATTAAAAATATTTTTTAAATACTAAAAAGGTGCTTATTTTTTGTTGAAAAAATCTGGCTATGCACCCTGTTCACAGATTGTAATTTTCTTGCAAAATTAAGATAAGGTAAAAACCATTTTAAATGGAGAAAAATATTTATATTTGATATTTTGGAAAACATATTATTGACATCTCAAGACATTTGATCGTTCTCTTAATTTTCAAACACCCTGTATTAGCCTTGAGAAAAACGAAATTTTTTCAAAAATCTTTAAATTCAGAGATAGACCATTGGCCAAAAACAAATGCTTTATATCTTGATAAAATATGTTCAACATCAACACTTGTTATTGCAGGGTTCCCGCGGCCTTGGAAAAAACCTTGAAAAGTACTTGAATTTCATTTTGATTTTCAAGGGCCCCTAGAAGTACTTGAAAATGATAATAAATCCTTGAAAAATTCAAAATTACCTTGAAAGGTATCGAAAACTCAGGAATACAGACCTATTTCTAGCATTTCTGTGCTTAACTTATGACGCGCGTAAGTGTGAGAGAACGACTTTCCCTCCTTTCAGATGATGACACGTACTGTTTGATTTTAGGATTTTATGTATGTTCGGCTGATTTTAGGAATTTTAAATATTGGGAACTGCTCCAGATTCTGACAAAATCTCTATTCTTATTCAGGCAATTTTAATATCGATCTTCGTATTAAACTGATTTAAAAGTTTTGTGTTTCAATTCGTTTTTGGGTGATTCAAAAATTGTACTCGCAATTCCCATTAAAGCAATTTGAAAATCAATATCGCGATTTTTGCTTAAGCGTTTTTAAACCCCAATGTCGTGATTAGTTTTTCTACAATTTTAAAATCTAATGTCGCTATTCGTATTCACGCATTTTGTAATATCAAACATCGATTTTCGTATTTATACGCGATTTGAAAACTACTCGTTGCGATTCGTATTCATGTGACCCTGTCGAGTGCGTATGATCGATGCTACTGAAAAAAAATTATTTAAGTGTGAGTGGTTAATTAAAACAGTTAAAGTGACCAAAATTGTTAGTAAGAATCGGTGAAAGTTGGCAACTGTTTCATTTTAAAATGGTTGACCGGTAATAAATTAAAATTATAATTGCGCTGCAACATCCAATAATTGATTAATTTTCTTTAATAGAAAAGTGGTCAAAATTATATTTAAGAACAAGTTAAGTTTCACTGTCTAAATGCTTCAGACACTTTAAATATTAAATAAAAAATCTCCCGGCAGAGATGTTTTTAAATATCTAATTGATGTCACAGTATTATATAGAACATCCCCCTCACCCGTCCTCTGCCCGAATCTTTGTTTATTCAGAGGTTGTATACCTAGTTTAAAATAGGCCTTATGCAAAATTCAAATCCAATGTTTTTATGCATCATGAATTTTATTCTTGACTTGATGCCAATCACCCTTGCTTTNTATTGCACAGATCCTAATTATGATTTATTTTTAAGAAAGTGATTAAAAATATTTTTTGAGTACTTAAAAGGTGCTTATTTTTTGTTGTAAGAATCTGGCTATGCACCCTGTTTACAGATTGTAATTTTCTTGCAAAATTAAGATAAGGTAAAAACTGTTTTAAATGGAGAAAAATATTTATATTTGATATTTTGGAAAACATATTATTGACATCTCGAGACGTTTGATCGTTCTCTTAATTTTCAAACACCCTGTATTAGCCTTGAGAAAAACGAAATGTTGTAAATGTAATATTAATTAGCTAAATAAAATTTTTCATCACTAAAAAAATTTTAATAATTCAACTAGCAAAACTTGTTGGTATATTTTTAATGATGCTCGTAGAACATTTGTAATTATTTCAAGTCTTGTTTCTAAACATTATACATATATATATATAATTCCGTGCTGTTGGATTTATTTAATTTTGCATTTGTTTTTTTTGTAATTGTATTTATTCTTAGTTAGTGAAATGTTAGCTAGTGTTATCTAAAAGATATGTGATTATTCAAAAATCTTTGAAAAGTAAGATATTTGTTTTGGTATTGAAAAAAAGAACGTTGATGACCTTAAAATTCTTTTTTAAAATAACCTTTAGACACGGATAGAAAGAAAACGATCCTCTACGAACCGTAAAAAATAATCTTAAAAGACTAATGCTTTAAAAAAATTTAAAATTCAGTTTTTTTTTTAGAATTAAATATTATGTTGGATTTATACATTTAATAAAATAATTTTTAGCGACACAATCTTCAAAAAGATCCCTATTGCATTGTATTATCAATTTTTTTAAAAATCTTTAAATTCAGAGATAGATCATTGGCCAAAAATAAATGCTTTATATCTTGATAAAATATGTTCAACATCATCACTTGTTATTGGAGTATATTTAAAATAACAAGATTCAATCTAAAATTTATACTGACTGTATAAAGAAGAAAATTAATTTGCAAGAAAAAAGTGCTTAGTGATAAATCTTATTCAAAGATAATAAAAAAATAACAAAAAGGGATGTAATTCTAAAATGTGAAAAAAATAATGGTTTAAAAACACTTTAATATTGCCTTATAAATGAAGAACCAAAAATAATAATAATAAATAAATAAATTTTATTTATCATCAACATCCTAACCTTTCTTATTATGAATGTATTTTGCAAATTTAGATGATTTTTCTAAATTATTTTTAATTCAGTTTATCAGGTCGAGATATGATTGGTATTGCTTTTACTGGTTCAGGAAAGACCCTTGTGTTTGTTTTACCTATTGTTATGTTTGCTATGGAACAAGAGAAATGCCTGCCATTCACACAGGAGGAAGGTCCTTATGGTCTCATCATTTGCCCGTCTGTAAGTTTTAATTCACTCTTAAAGGAACTTTTACACCACCCAACCATTGCTAATCACTTTTTTCGGGGCTCTATGTTTTAACAGCCTTGGCTGCATCATTATTACAGATGATGTTTACAGCTAGTGCCTCTGACCCATGAGAGGACTCTCAGTAATGAGTTTTAACTTGTGCCCTTGCTAAGTAAACACACCAGTTGTTCAGGCAGCTGACAGGATTGAACTCAGAACCCAAGTTATTCACCAATGGAGTTTCTTTTGTTTTGTTGCTAGAATGGTAAAATTGAAAAAAAACTTCAATACAGGAAAAAAGGAGAAGTTTGCGAAATTCTGATAATTTTTCCTTTTCCTTACCAAAAATATGATAATTTCTGATGGTTGCAATTTTTAATGCTTGAAAGTGAAAAGGGGATAGGAAAATACTTAAATTTTATCTAGTTCAATTTACACGCCAGATTATCACTCACCTCTCTGATGTTTAGAAAGCTGGGATTCCTAGCAAAAAAAATTTTTGTTTTTGTGGTTGTACTTCTCGCTCGATATGCAGTGTTTCATTCAATTTGAAATTTCTTCATCACATCAACTTTATTATTACGACAGGCTAATATTGTTATCCTTAATGCATTAATATTCAGATTTTTCTATTTTGTTTTTACAGCTAATAAGTGAAATATTGTTCTTCAGATATCTTGAATTGGGAATCAACATAGTGATTCATATAAAATGTTCTGCAAATCTCAATTAGCATGAAATTGATTAACAAATCACACATTAGGATTCATATTGAAGTGATTTATGAATTGCGTTTCAAATATCACATTGAAGTGATTTGCCAAATACTCATCGTGATTCGTGTAAAGGTGCTTTTTAAATCATACATCGTGATTTATATTAAAGTGATTTCTCAACCACACATCACAATTTAGATTGAAGTGATTTTCAAATTGTAAAACATGATACGCATTTAAGTCAGTTCCAAATCGTACATCACAATACTCAAGTAGTTTACATATCACACAATTTGAATCTTATTTGAAGTATTTAAGAATTACACCAAGCGACTCGAATAAGTGAAATGTAAGAATTACCATTCGAAAGTCACCTCAAAATAATTTATGAATCGTACATAGCTATTTTAAATTCAATGCTTACCGAATCACAAATCGGGATTTGCTTTATAATGATTAACAAAACACTCATCGCTATTTTCATGAAAATTATTAGTGGATCATGCATCATGTTTTGCATTAAAGTGATTAATGAATCATGCAATGGAATTCAGGATTAAGTGATTTATGTACATAGATAATTGTGTTCTGGAAAAAGTCCCAGATTTTTTGCTATCCGCAAGCTGAAAGCTTCCTGAAATCATCGATCACATTTATGTATAAAAATTCTTATATAATTTATATAATCTAGATATGTCTTTAGAAATCTAACTTATATAATCTAGAATTTATACTTGGCATTTCTTTCATTTGTAAATATTATTTTTGGTAGAATAAATGTGATTAGAGATAAAAGTAAACTTATACATAATTATTCATTTAAATTATGCTATACATAATTTATTTAGATTTCATGTTTTGAAAATATCAATGATTTAAATTTCTAAAGACATAAATTTTTTGAAATGCGTCATTAATAATTTTAATCAAAAAATTTTTAGGATTTTTAAGTTGGGCTCACAATCACCCCTGTATGTATCAGGCATCGAAATTTATGACTTGTTAGTTCATGTGATTTTAAAATTTTATCTTTGCTATTCTTATAGTCCGATTTGCGAGTTAAAATTGAACTGCAAATTGAAATTTAATTAGATGACTTTCGAAAACAGTATGAATAGCAAATTCTTGTTTCCCTTTAGATGGGAAAATAGCAGAGTGAGTGGATTAAATATAACTGAAGTATTATTTTTAATGAGTACTAAGTTTTGAAATAAATTCTAATTTATTGATCTCAAAAATATTAAAGTTAAAAAACAGTTGATTAAAATTATTTTGGAATACTGGTTGTATACTAATAATTATTTGTTAACAATGTGGCTGTCTGGTAACTTTCAAACGTCAGTAGAACATCGAAGTAATAAGTGTAGAAAGGAAACTCGAAACTCCCGCTTAATTATTCAGCAAAGAACTTTCTAGAATGTTCTCTCTTTCATTATTACTTTTTGTTTTTACTTTAGGGTTAATTCTAACAATTTTCTTTATGGTAGCCAAGCTTCAAATTTAGGTGTATTGCAGAAGTTAGCAACAAACCCTTCCAAAGTATTCTAGAAGTAAACAAAATTTCCCTTTTAAAATATTTGAATTCTTTCAAACTCTAGAATCTTGTAAATGTCATTTAAATAATTGTTTGCTCCAAAGATTTTCATTTATATTGAGGTATTATTTGATTACGAATTACATGAAAGGAATTTGTGTGCTTCTCTTAAATTTTTGATGTGATTAATTCAATTAATGACTCCCAGTGAATGAGGAGTAGCACTTCACCCTCCCATACTCCAAGCCCATGGCTATATCTTTGGATCAGGCAAGGTTGGCCAAGCCAGAGCCCATGGTCAAGAAAATTAAGAATGGCAGAGTATACCTGGAGCTGTCTCACCAGAGTATACCTTTAGTTTTAGATTCAATTCAATAACAATGTGAATATAATTATTTATAAACAGAATTATAAAAGAATGTGATGTATATGATGCTATTTGTTTAAATATGATTTTCTTTTTGTTAATTTGTATTATCATGGTAAAAAAAGTGCTTTATTATAATGATGGTAATGGAATTTTATGTGAGAAAAAGACTTAAGTTTTAGCATATTTTCTTAATTTTTACCATTTAAACCTTTGATCTGCAAAAGAATAATTCTATTATTAATAAGCTGGATTAAGGGGTGGCTACTAGGTCTGTAGCCTAAATTTTTTAGGGACCTCTAAAGTTTATGAATGTGCAATTGATTTTTTTAATTTTCTAAAAAATTATAAGATATTTTCAAATGCATTCTTTCTGTATGCTCATTAAAAATTTTACGTATTTTTAAGGGGTCTTGGTTGGCAAATATGTAATAAATTTAATAAGAATGGAAAATTCTTACTCTGTTAAATTTGATTTTCAAAATTTGTATGTTTGCTGTTTAAATTTTGTATGTTTTTCTTAGAACTACTTAACATTTAAGATTTTATGCAAGTTTTTGTTGACATAAAAAATTAATCAAACGCTAATGTTTAATGTAAGTGCTTTTGAAAAAATTTGAAATTTCATTTTTGCTTCTAAAGCAAGATTAACAAGTTTTTCTAAAACAAGTTTAATTAAAACTGAAGTTTATCAAGTTTTAATATTTCTGAATATAGCTAAATGCTCAATAATTTGGTATAGTAAGGGCCTCAACTTTCACATTTCATATCCAACCTTGATTATAAAATATCTGTATCTGGAAAATATTTTAATCATATTTGTAACTTAATACCTAAACAGTATATTATTCATTTTAAATAAACTATTTTCATCTTATGAAATATCTATGTTTTAGAGGGAATTAGCCAAACAGACATACGAGATTCTTCGTTATTTTGGACAATGCTTCTCTAACGCTGGATATCCTGACTTACGATGCTGCTTATGTATTGGAGGTGTATCAGTAAGGGATCAACTTGATGTTATAAAACGGTAACTGTTGAATAATTCATTTTAATTGATTTTTTTAAAAAAAAGACTCAAATGATAGTATCTGTTGTTTTTTACAATCTCGTAAATTAATACAACATGCAGAAATGGTAGATATCACTATTGCCTCTGTAACTGAGGTAAATTATTTGGGCCCAGTTAATTAATTTAATTTATTTAGCCTTTCAATATTTATTTAGTATTAATTTTCAGATATTATTTCTATTTCTTGAATTATTAGAGGTCTTAAGAATTTTAAACAGAAAATGTTTTCTTTTTAGTTTTTCTTAAAAAATCACCAAGTTGGAAAAAAAAAAGCTTAAAGCAAAATAAAATTTAAACTGTAAGAAGTTTTGGAATTTTCCATGGTGCAATAACATTGTATTTAAATATTAGGATTCTAAATACCATGTACAAATACATGGTGCCAACTACCGAAACAATGAAAAAATAACTTATATTTATGATGATGTATGCTTAAATAAATTGTATCAAAAAGTGATTATTAAAATTCGCTGCAGGAATTTTCAGCTTGTGATTGCAGTAGTGTTCTGATATGCAAGTCTCTAATGAACCATCCGAGGCTTTGTGAAAAATCTGAATGCATTTTTATTTCCACCAAATGTAACATTGTTTTATTTAAGTGTTCAAATAAGTTTATGGAGCTTTAATATATTTTCAGGGGTGTTCATATTATGGTGGCTACTCCAGGAAGACTCAATGCTTACCAAATCA